TGTGTGTGCGTGCGTGCGTGCGTGCGTGCGTGCGTGCGTGCGTGCGCGTAGGTGTTGGTGTGGGGGTGGGGGTGGGGTGGGGTGTGGTGGGGTGGGGTTGGGGTGAGGGTGTGTGTGTGTGTGTGTGTGTGTGTGTCGCAAAAATATATGTATTATACGATACAATATGTCACAAAATATATGTATTATACGATATAATATGTCGCAAAATATATGTATTATACCATACAACAAAGCCTAATGGCTCCTATATATAGTACGTAGCACGCTTGCCGTGAGATAAAAAGATACGCCGTGACGCCACTTATTATGTTTCTTTAATAAATATCTTCTGCCGTGCGGAAAATGTTGAATCTCGATTAAATTTTTACCATGCAACTAGCGTCGTGTGTGTAGGAGCCTTCAATTATCTAATACATATATAACGATGACAAGAAGAACGTCAAATATGAAATGCTTTAAAACAAATCTTTTTAAGAGCCGTGATATCGATAAGATATACATTACATGCAAGGTTACGACAAACTGCATTACACGACTATGTCCATAATATATGAATATCGCGTTATGATTACTCCAATCGCCCGTAATAACGAATGTGTTAAACTCATTGTAATATTATTCTAAAGTACTAAAAATTAAACATTTTCTATAAAATATGTGCTTAACAATTGTGTAATACTTACGTGATATTTCAATGTTGCGCCAATCACAAGTTTAATAAAAGACTATTATGAAGTTGTTACAAATTGAAGTTGCACATTAACGTATTACCACCTTTGCGCCACTCCTACGCAGTAACATGTCGCGCTAGTTACCGCGAAAGTTTGAATACCACTAAAGAATGAATAAGAAGGTAACAATGAAGAAAAAGAAGAAGAAAAGTGTCTTCCGCAAAGTATAATTTATTTTTAATGAATTCCGATTAAGAGCTCGCGATAATAAATATGCGGCGCATATAAGATTAAATATATTTACAGGAGATGGCACGAATTGCGAAATGCTAAATGATATGAGCCATAATTCATTCAAAGAGGAAGGTTGAATATGTTAATACAGTAAATGGATTTTAATCAAGAAAAAATTACAAGTAAAATTAAGCATTTGGTCGGTTGTACCATAAGTACTAGAATTGAACAGCGATAAGTCAAAAAGTGATGTAGCCGAGCAGACTGAGACATGCTGTGTTCACTTTCGTACAGCCGTCGATTAACGCGAATTCGATCCCCGTAATATCAATTACTTTTTTAAATTGTTTATTTTCTAATATATAATTAATTTACCTTTTTCTTTTATGCAAAAATACTAATTATAACGCAATTTTCGTTATAAATAATAATAAATAACTACAGCTTAAAACATTTTAATTATTTATTATAAAATTTTGACTTTATTATATAATTTTATAAATGAAAATTAATGTAGAAACCTTTAAAATAATTAATTTAAAATTAATATAAGTAGGACATACACCATAAACATTTTATAAATAAATTAGTTGTACAAACACATTTCATGTTGTGAATATTTAGAGGAAAATGTGATTTATTTATATTATACTATGTTTTCCTTCAAATATTTACAGCATAAAATGTGTATTATTATTTGTAAAAATAATAATTTATTTATAAAATGTTTATGGTGTTCTACTTGTGTCTTAAATGTTTTTAACGTAGAATATAATATATTTGTTGTTAATAATTGGCGTCAAATTATAATTTCATGAAATGATTAATTTACAACCCGAGTGACATGTATGTACTTACAATACAAAATAAAAAAATTAAATCTTAATAAAATAATTTTTATGTAAAAACACTTGGCGCTGCTAGACCTAATAAGAAAAACAATAAATAAAAAATTTTTAAGTAATAAATTTTATCAGAAATTTAAATTAAATAAAAAGCGCCAAATGTTTTTACATAAAAATTATTTTATTAAGATTTAATTTTTTATTTTGTATTGTAAGTACATACATGTCACAGATCGGAAGAGCACA